TCAACGTCATTTTTCAGAGAGAAAACCGAAGCACAGGGAGATAAGATAATGTGCCCAAGTCCAATAGTTTGCAAATGATGGACTCAGGATACAAACCTGGTCATCTGACTCTGGAATTCATATTCCCAGTTAATAAGTAATACAGATACAGATATGCAGGACAGAAGAAAAGTAAAAGTAGCAATTGATAAAGTAGAAAAAGCCCACTAGAATTGATAAATATATCCATGATCTGCTTCTTTAAAATGATACAATAATAAAACTGACAACAAAAAAGACAAACCTCTGGAAAAAAGAAAAAGAGAGACTTCCTGACAATACAATATGAGGAAAGAATGAGAAAAGGCATAGTATCATCCCAGATAAGATGGCACAATATAAGCACATTGAGAAAAATACTATCCCAAGGAAAATATAAATTCCAAAAGTTAGTTTGAGAAGAGGTGGAAAATTTTCCTGTGTGGTTGGAATGTAGAGAGCAAGGGAGAGGGGAAGTGGTAAAAGCTCAGGAATGAGACAGGGCTCTGCTGTCATCCCTTTTATTGCATGTTGTTCTGAAAGTTCTAGATAGGGAAATATGATAAGGGCAAAAAAGAGGCCTCAGAGAGGAGAAAAGGAAAATATTATTGGGGATAACATGATTCTCTTTCTGGAAAACTCAAAGGAAGCTACTGAAAATCCACAAAACTATTATGATTTTTTAAAAATGCATTATTTGCAACAACATGGATGAGCCTGGAGAAAATTATCCTAAATGAAACAACCCAGGTACAAAAAGAGAAATACTGCATGTGTTCACTCATAACTGGGAGCTGAATCCATAAATAAACAAATGAACAATAAAGAGAGACAGAGAGAAAGAAATAAACAACAATCACAGTAATACGTTGAACTTTTAGAAAACTAGAGGTGGAAAAGGGGAGAGGGGGAGAGGGAAGGGGGCTAATGAGGAATTGGTCAACGGACACAGAATGATTGTGTATTGTAATGATGAATAAGCTAACTATACTGATCTAACCACCACCCATTCTACACAATTATTGAAAATCAACATTGTACCCCACATGTATGTATAATAAAAACTAAGGAATGCTTACAAATAAATATACTGAAAATCTGTTGCTTTCCTATTTGTAAGCAATGACCAGTTGGAAAACACACTGAAAATAAAAATGACTTCTTCACAATAACATTAAGATAAGGATCCCAATTAGATAGGAGGAATAAATTCTGGTGTTTTGTTGGACAGGAGGGTGACTATGGTTAAGTTTTGTATATTACATAAGAGCTAGAGGAGAGGCTTTTGAATGTTTTCACCATGAAGAAATGATAAATGCAATAGGTGATGCATACATTAACTATCCTGACTCTGTCATTATACAACATATATATGTATGTATATATCAAAATGTCAGCTTGTAACCCATAAGTGTGTACAATTACAATGTGTCAATTAAAATAAACAAACATTTTTAAAAAGATCCCTCAAATGATACTATGTGTAGGACATAGATGGAGAAAGTTAAAGACTCAACTGGGAGATATAAAATAAGATTTTAACAAGGGAACAATTAGTTCCCTTGTTGAAGTGTCAATTATCTTGAATTTAATTTCTAAATTTAAGACCATTTAAGACCATTTCGATTAAAGTCCAGTCATTTTTTGGAGGGCGGGGATTGAGTAAATACAATTCAAAAAAAAAAAAAAAAAAAAACAGAAAGACTCCATTGGTATTTAAAAAATCTTGACATACTTATTCTGAAGTTCTCTTGGAAGAATAAACATGCAATGATAGCCAAGAAAATGTTCAAAATGAGTATAATGAGGGAGGACTTGCCCTGCCAAGATACAACATATTTTAAAGCCACTATAATTAAAACCAGTATTGCTGTACCGCAAGACAGATCAGTGGAACAGAAGGCCCAAAGACAGACCACAGTGTATATAATTATTGAACATATAATAAAGTTGGCATTTGAAATCAGTGGGGAAGGGAGAGATTATTCAATAAAGAATGCTGGGACAGTTGATTACCTATTTGGAAAAAATTGTCAAATTAGATTCCCATTTTACATTTTACAGATTCCAAGAAATTACAGATGTATTAGAGTTTGAAGCGGAACTGATGCCATATAAAAGCATAGAAAAAAAAAAGAGAATAATATTTATATGACCTTGGGGCATGAGGACGGCCATTTAAAATATAGTTGGGTTGTTTTCTTTGTCTACTTTTTCCTTTTAGTGGTTTGAAAGTTATACATAGTATTTCTGTTCTTATTTTTATCCTTAATCGTTAACACACATACTTGATCTTATAATATCCTCAATGTGTTTCTCAATATCTATAATCTCTTGAGGACTATAAGACTCAGCATATTTCAATTTTATAGCCCTTCTCTCACTCCCACTTCTTGTGACTTACATTCTCTCTGTGTCTGTCTCTAATTTAAAATTATGTATTATGGAAAATATCAAACATATATAAAAGTAGACAGATTAAAATAATGATTCCTCATGTATCCATCATCCAGGTTCAATAGTGAACCTATCATGATCAATTTTTTTTCATCTATAGCCCTCTCCTTTCTATCCCCTTCCAGGCAGACTGAATTATTTTATCCATAAAGATTTTAAAATGTATCCTCAAAGATAAATATTCTATAAAAAAAGTACCATCTCACCCCAGTTAGGACGGCCAAAATCCAAAAGACGCTGAAAGATAAGTGCTGGCGTGGTTGCGGAGAAAAAGGAACTCTCATACATTGTTGGTGGGAATGCAAAATGGTGCAACCCCTATGGAAAATGGTTTGGAGGTTCCTCAAACAGCTGAAGATAGATCTACCATACGACCCAGCTATCCCACTGCTGGGAATATATCCAAAGGAATGGAAATCATCAAGTCGAAGGTATACTTGTTTCCCAATGTTCATTGCAGCACTCTTCACAATAGCCAAGAGCTGGAATCAGCCCAAATGTCCATCATCGGATGAGTGGATACGGAAAATGTGGTATATCTACACAATGGAATACTACTCAGCTATAAAAACGAATGAAATACTGCCATTTGCAACAACATGGATGGACCTTGAGAGAATTATATTAAGTGAAATGAGTCAGGCAGAGAAAAAGAAATACCACATGTTCTCACTTATTGGTGGGAGCTAAAAATAAATAAATAAATTCACTCACACACACACAAAAAAACCCCCGGGGGGTGGGGAAGAAGATATAACAACTACAATTTTTTGAAGTTGTTACTACAAGCAAACGGAAAGGACATTCTTGGGGGGGAGGGGAGAGAGGGAGGAGGGAGGGAGGTGTCGGCGATGGGCCATAATAATCATATACATTGTATATTGACAAAATAAAAATTTAACGAAAAAAAAAAAAAGAAAAGTAATACCATTATCACTCCAAAGATTTTTAATTCCCTAACATCATAAAATAACAGATAATAACAATAATTCTCTAATATCATCAAAAAGTGAGTATGTCATTTCCTAATTGCCTCATAATTTTAAAAACTATTGATTTATTCAAATTAGGATCCAAACAAAGTCCGCATGTTGCATTTAGTTGATATGTTTCTTAAATGTCTTTGAGAATGTTCATTTCTCCTCTTATTTTCTTTCCCTTCTTCCTCCTTCTTGCAGTTTATTTATTGAAGAAACTGTTTTGTTTGCCTTGTAGTTCTCTACAATCCATTTTTTTGGGGGGTGGGAGTGGGGGTGTTGCTGATTGCCTCCCTGTGAGGTCATTTAATATGTTCCTCTGTCACTTGTATTTTCTGTAATTTGTAGTTGCATCAAGAGACTTGAATCGATGTAGATGTGATTATTTGGCAAGAGTACTTCATAGGTGGTGGTGTGAGCTTTCGTCAGCAGGCAGGTCGCATCTTTTTGGGATGTTAGCAGCTATTGATGATTATTGCCCAGATCCATTATGTCACTAGGGGTAGCCTTGACTTTTCCTGTTATGTTTTCATTCACTGCACATGTACTTTGGAAAGGTTCTGATCTGGTTCCTAAAGCATGATGCCTGTCCTCCAGGAACCCATGGTTTAGAGGCCATAAAAGAAGATGCGAATAACGACCAAAAAAATCAGTTTTATTTTGTATATATTCTGACTGCCTCTCCCTGCAACTAATATGATTCCCAAATAGTAGAACCATATCATAGATGCATTTAACTCACACAAATTCAACCATATGTATATGTATGTATTTGGTTGCAAGTTTTGAAAGTAACAATGGAAACATTGCAGCCTATTTCCTCCATGCTTCCACTTAATTGACATTTCTCCTAGTGAGATGGAGGCGTGAGTCTGCCGTCCCTGCTCACTGTTTCTACATGCCCTTCATATTACGTACTCTTCTCCAAGTGTGACCCTAGTGTTTAAAGAGTTGGAAAAGGGGAGGGGAGGGGAAAAGGGTGGGCTGATGAGGAACTTGTCAACGGACACAAAGAATGGCTGCGTATTGTCATGATGAATGAGCTGACTTATTATTACTTATTACTGATCTAACTACCACCCATTCTACATAATTATTGAAAATCAACATTTTACCCCACATCTGTGTATAATAAAATGAATAAGTAAGTAAATAAAATAAAGATGCACATTTCTTGCATATTATGGATCTAAACAAGAGCCAACCACTTCATCTGGTGCCTGCTCTAAGAAACAACATTCTGTTCCAAAACTAATAGAAGGCCAAGCAATTTAAGGGATCTTCAAGGGAGTGTAATTTTGAGCATATGTGATCTTTTCAACCCTAACTAACTTTAGAAGCTTAACTTCTGTATGAGATGCAACCTCAGTGTACCCAAGAGCTGCACGTCAAAGGACAAGATGCAGCAGCGGAAGTTTTTGCTGACTTTGGAATGAAGCCTTTACTTGTTAGTGAAATCCAGATTTAATGATCTCTTCCTCCTTTCTCTCTCTTCCTCCCTCCACCTTCCTTCTTCCCTTCCTCCTACCTTTATTTTCTCTTTTGCAGTTTGCTGCTTTGTTGTGCACAAGCGGTGCCATGAATTTGTCACATTCTCCTGCCCTGGCGCCGACAAGGGTCCCGCCTCTGACGTAAGTAATGGGCATTGGTCACTTTTCTCTGTCCATGGTCAATGCATTATTTTTGGCGTGAATGTGAGTGAGTATGCTTAGATAAGTGGGAATGTTCTCATTCCAAGGCATGTGGTGGTCCCTACAGCCTCCGAGATGGTGTTCCTTTTAATGGAAAAAACAAAATTAAACATTTTGGTGGGGGTGTGTGTGGCTGCATAGGAAACCAGCTAGTGCCCTACTATGATTCTGTTAAATGTCTTCACCTTTACAGCTGGGGCGTGGAGAGTGGTGGGCTGGGGCTTACTTGTTAGTGCTACTGGAAAAAGGTAGTGTGGGTAGAATGAACTTTAGAACCCTTTGTTAGGGAGTTCGTAATATCAGGGCCCAAGAATTAGGAGGAAATGAGTTTATCCTGCTACTACACATCCCAAAATATGACTACTGCTGGTGGGACAATGGGCAAATAATATTTGTTTTAGTCATTATGAATTTATTCTAATATGGATTGGGAAAACATCTAGTAGTAGTTTTGCATTTATGGTAGGAATATAAAATTTCCTGCCTAAGGGAAGATATTTAGGATAAACAAAAGATAACTTGATTGAAGGAAAATATTAATTGAATGGGAGTATGGGTGATATAAGGATATGGCAAAAGGTTAGCTATGAATTTGTCTCAAGTTTGGGGTGCATTGTTGATTACCTGCCCAACAGCAATTCACAGCCCTCATCTTCTCCTTTCCTTCTGGCAGAGGCCACCTGTCATGCTAGAAGCTGAAAGTATCTGATACGCACTTTCCAGGCTCTCTTCTAGCTGGTGGATAAGCCCGTGACCCAATCCTGCTAATGGGACCTGAGGAGAAGACTGGGGAGGACTTCTAGGAAAGATTTTCCTTTCTGCTAAGAGAGAGACATCCTTTCCTTTGTGCTCTTGGGAGTTTTTAAGTGAGGATCTAATGCTTGGAGTTGTGGCAGCCCTTTTGGGGCAGTGAGAGAGACACTGCTGACATCCTGAGCATGGCAGAGTGGAGGAGTTGAAAGAACCTGGGTCATGGATGACACTGATGAACTGCTGAGCCAACTTTGAGTCATCTTTCCCTCTAATTGGTTAGATGAGCTAAGAGGCTCATCTTGGTAAAGGCTCATTGTTTGGGGCGTTCTTTTACATGCAGCTGAAACTGTCCTAGCTGATAGGATTTTCAACCATGCCCAGTAATAAACTGTTCAATATAATCCATGTGCAGCCATCACCCCGAGCTCTTTTATTTTGTTCCTGCTTTGGTTCACCTTTCTGGAATTTTCCCCATTGGCTTTGTCTCCATTACTGGTCCTGTTTGCCACGTAGATTTGACAGGTGACCTCAGCTTGCCCAAAGTAAGTAGTGACTACTTCTTCTTCTTCTTTTTTTTTTTTTTCCTTTTTGTCTTTTTTACTGACCGGTAACGGGATCACAACCCTCGGTGTCGCGCCCTCACCGCTCTCAGCCAGTGAGCGGGAACCGGTCTCCACATGGGATCTGAACCCTCGGTGGGAGCGCCGCTGCGCTCCCAAGCGGCGCACTCTCCAGTGCACCACCGGGCCGGCCCTGAGTAGTGACTACTTCTGTCATTGAGTTTCTTTGACTCCTACTGGCCTTTACAAGTGGTCATCTGCCATTTTGCTGCAAATCAGGGGGCATATCTGTTGCCAGAGCAACATAACACTCTAGAGCTTATGCTTCGTAAACTTTGGTTGGAAAAAGTGGTACTTGAGCTTAAGAACTGCAATGTGGAACAACCAAAGTCATTGCAGGTCTGTTTGTAGAGATGAAGGTTCCCTGGCCTTTCTCGTGTACTTCCTTCTCTTGTCCCCAGGAAAACAGGAAGGGAAGTTTGGGGAAACGGCCTGACCCCATTATGCAGCTCTGAATGTTCAGGCAGACCGAGGCTTGATACTCAACTTGCAGCCAAGAGGATGGTGTTTTCCATATTCTGTCTCTATTTGTTGCCTAAGGCAAAAACTCAGCTCAAACTGACTTATGTGAAAAGGGAAATTTTTGGTCCCTGGAGTGGGAAACCCAAGGATAGACCTGGCTTCAGGCACAGTGAATCAAGTCCTTAAATAAGATCCTCAGGAATCTCTTTCCCCATTTCTTAGCTCAGCCTTCCTCTGTCTTGATTTCATTTTCATGAAGGCTTTTATCTTATGGGAGCGTAATGGGTGCAGCACTTTTATTCTTGTATCTTATCCACTCTGCAACCACAGTGACCACGGATCACATGTAGCCAGGAAGACAGATTACGCTGATTGGTTAGTCCTGGTCATGAGCTGCCATGGTCTGTTTTGTCCCTCTAAAGTTCATATATTAAAATCCTAACCCCCAAGGTGATGGTATTAAGAGGTGGGACCTTTGGGAGGTGATTAGGTCACAAGGGAGGAGTCCTCATGAATGGGATTAGTGCCCTTATAAAAAAGACCCCAGAGAGAGCCCTCACCCCTTCCCCCATGTGAGAAGACAGCTGTTTATGAGGAAGTGGGCTCTCACCAGACACTCAATCTGCCAGCACATTGGTCTTGGACCTCCAGCCTCCAGAACAGTGAGAAATAAATTTCTGTTATTTAAAAGCCACCCAGTTTTTGGTTATTTTGTTATAGCAGCCCCAATGGACTAAGATAGAAAATTTTGGTACCAAGAGTGGTTCTAGAGGAACAGAATTTTAAGGGTAAGTTCTAGAGGAAAAGGATTTTGATTACCTGCCTGTGAGTTTTCTGAATTAGTTCTGGGGTCTCTGAAGTTGGCCTTCTAATTTGATTAGATTTAAAGATGCTACTGACTATTTCTAGTAGTAAAGAGAGCACTGATAGTCCATGGCATGAACTGTTTGTAGAGATACACAAAATATCTGCACTGGATACTCCTGAGAAGCAAGAAACTAAGTGACCCTGTATATGATACTTTCAAACATTTTTGGAAAACTAAGGAATATAATGATATTGGTTGCTTGCTCCTAATGTTGCTAGACAAAGTGGTGAAAGAACAGCATGAGCTCAGGGATTCAAATTCCCAGCTCAGGCACTGCAGAAATGATCTAAGAGCTTCTCAAAGTCTTGCCCTGAAGGAGAGCCTTAAAGTCTGTAGCTGCAGGGCTGAAATTTCTGAAAATCAGATGCACAACCACATCCTGCAACTGGCTGAATTACAAGGAAAGTTGAACTCCCAGCCTCACAGGGTGTCTACTTGTTTAAGCAAGAGCATTGGTTGGGAAAGAATGAGATGCTGGGAGGACCCTGATGGAGACCCTGTTGAAGCTGGGGACATTGAGCCACTAGATTCTGATAAATCTTCTTTGCCGATGGAGGTGGCCTCCTTAACACCCAGCAGAATTGGTCTCCCCACCTCCAGCAAAAGTAGCATCCCTACCCGTGGTGGTATAGGCCTTTCCAATGCAGGATTTACCCTGCATTGCCTGAGAAAACTGTAATGGCCTCACCTGCGGTGGTCACCATGCAAGGCAATGATGATTCTCCTCAGGATCTACCCCTGCCCACCCCTCTTTGATTCTACACCTATAGCTAGAGTCAAGGCCCAACAGACCCTGAAAGACAAGGTACAAAGTGTGACCCACGAGGAGGTATGCTACACTCCAAAAGAAATAATTGAGTTTTCTAATTCATACAACAGAAATCCAAGGAACATAAATGGGAATAGATATGAAGGGGGTGAGATAATGGTGGAAGGAACAAGTTGATCAGGCTGACTTTATTGATATGGGTTCACTAAGTGTAGATTCTGAATTTAATGTTTCAGCTCAGGGAGTTAGAAATGGTTCTCACAGTTTGGTTCATTGGCTGAAACATGGATCAAAAGATGGCCCACCATGAGCAAATTCGAAATGCCCGACCTCCCCTGGTTTAATGTAGAGGAAGAGATTCAAAGGCTTAGGGAGATTGGAGTGGACGTGTCATTTGAGACTTACTCACCCATGCTGGGAGGGTCCAGAAGACATACCTTTTATTTTGAAAAATAAATGTGAGAGGAGCTCCTGCATCCCTGAAGAACTCTGTGATTGCTCATCTCTGCAGGCCTGACCTTACGGTTGGAACCATAGCCACTCAGCAGGAAAACGTAAATGCAATGGAAGTAATTGGATCCCCCCAAGGTGGAAGGGGCCAAGTGTCTGCATGCAGCTGCCAAAGGACAGGTGGATATAGTTACTGTAATGGACAGCAGAGGTAAAGCAGCAATCAGAATAGCCTGACTCTTATGGACCTATGGCATTGGCTCATTAAGGTGTTCCTAGAGGTGAAATAGACAGGAAGCCTACTAACTTCTTACTTGATCTGTATTGGCAGAAAAATTCTAGGTCAAGTGAACTAAGTCTAACTTGAATCATAAAAACAGAGAGTCACAGCCCCTCAATCAATCCCCAGGTTCGAATCACTGTCCAGACTCAGAACCTCTCGAGTGAAGGGGAAGCTGGGTCTCATCAAGAAAAGACCCCAGGGCCGGCCCGGTGGCGCACTGGGTAGTGCGCCGCTTGGGAAGCGCGGTGGCGCTCCCGCCCGAGGGTTCGGATCCCACATACGGACCGGCTCCCGCTCACTGGCTGAGCGAGGCACGGGAGCAACGCCGAGGTTTGCAATCCCGTTGCCGGTCCCTGGTCCGGTACGGGGGCAACACTGAGGGTTGCGATCCGTTGCCGGACACGGAAAAAGACAAAAAAAAAAAAAAAAAAAAAAAAAAAACCCCA